AAAAAAAAAAAAAAAAAAAAAAAACTCAAAATTGGAAGCACCCAAGAGAAGCACAATTCAACATTTTGATCATTGTCTTGTTCTTATGTTCCTCAGTAAAAAATAATGGCCTCAAAATCTTTTCTTTTTCGGTTGAATAGTTCAAACATAATTGCTTTAACAAAGTGGCTAAGTTTTCTACAAAAATCTGGTAGCTGCTTAGAATAATATACAACATAAAAGAAAATATGGGTCAATTTGAAAATTAGGTATGATGCTATGAACTAAAATGTCATACCGTGCTGTATGTAACTGTATCTGGACATAAGCCATCATTCTTCATTTGATGAAACAGCTTAACACTGGTATCAAACTTGCCATTTCTCACCAGACAATTGAGGATAGAATTACAAATATAAATATTATTCTTTATTGATACTTCTTGAATATTATTGTATATTTCTAGTGCCTTCAAAGGATTAAGGCCTCTCCCCATGAACTTTATATAGCTGCTGTAAGAAGAAACATTGGTCTTTCCAGTCTGCTGCATCCACTCAAAGAGCTGCAATAACCACAAATATAGATAACAAACGTAAAATGACAGGCATTTAGAAAGTTCTCAAACCCATGGGTGAAGGAAACAAATAAAAGTATGTAATAGGTTCAACTCAACCAAAAAATGTAATGATGAAAATGAGCGAAAAATATTTTGACAAAAATGAGGAATTCTTTCTTTCTTGTAAGGAAACATAACTTTTCATTGATAATTGAAAGGTTAAATAGCTGCACAAGATAACAGATCCCAATTAGGAGTATAAACATATTTTCTCTGATATATCATGACATCACAAAAAAGAGATCCCAAGTTAAGAAGAAATACTGTGAGCTTTTGTGAAATTTTCTTGTTGACACTACATTTCACTGGAAACAGCTTGATTCTCATCCAACAATACACAGTACAAGCAGATTAATATTCCTAGAAGCACCTGAGATAGATCCTGCCACCTACTTGACATCCCAAAATGCCGCAGTATAACATTCAAATCTTGCGCTTTTAGTAGTCCACCATACCTGTACAAGAAAAGTTAATCCAGCTTAATGTTTCAGCCCGTAAACGATCTTCTATTTAGAATGATTAAGAGAAGCAAAACTTCTGGCAGAATCCTATCTCTTGAACAAAAATAAGAAAAAAAATGATCAAACACATTTTTGTTTCTCCTTCAAAGAAAATAAAAACATGAAACATTAAACACTAAACACTGAGAAAAATGAGACATAGACAAGCCATCATAGTTAGTGATAAGATGTTAAAATGGAAAAAGTCATAAAACAATGTCACCAAACAAGAGGTATTATGTAAACAGACTCCCTTTACTTACTTGGGTATTACAGTTGGTGGGAAGCCTAATAATTAGTCTTTTTGGAGCCCGGTTGTTGATAAAATTCATAGCAACTTGGTGGTTTAGAGAGGCTTCCCCATTTCCAAAGGGGTAGATCTGCTTTCAGTAAGGCCGTTCTCTCTAGTATGCCAGCTTAGTTTTTTCTCTATCTTCAGAGCTTCAGTGGGCGTTTGTAAAACTATTGAAAAATTCTACAGAAGTTTCTTAGGAAGAGGGCTGAGATGTTGAAAGGCAGCCACTTAATCAAATGGGACAGAGTCACCACCTCTAGCTCTTTAGGTGGTTTGGGGATTGATAACCTTAGAGCCAAGAGCCTTGCCCTTCCTACTAAATGGTTATGGTGTTTTGAGTTGGAGGAGACAACTTTACGGAGAGTTGTGATTAAAAGCAAGTACGGGGAGTCTTTTGTTAGGGATGGCCTGGCTCATAAAAAGTAGAAAGACACCCTCAGTCCTTGTAAGTACATAGCCAAAGCTGCTTGCAGTTTCTGGGAAGATTGTGGCTTAAAGACGTGAAGAGAGGATAGAGTCTTTTTGTAACCCTTCCTTTAGAAAATATCTTTTTCACTAAAACAAAGGATGAAAATTGACAAGGCAGTTGATATGTAAAAATTAGAAGGCATACGTGATATTATTTAGAACTATATAGAAGGTAAAGATTATTATTACTATTTATTTCATCTCAAAAATATTCATCAAGTGTCACGTTAATTTACACAAATGATGTTGTAAATGGTGTCACGTATCCTTTCAATTTTTACACATTCGCCAACGCATCAATTTTCATCTTATTTTAATGGGAAAAAAACTCTTTAAGAGGATTTCTTTAAACAAATTTCAAAATTCAAGGGTAAAAAATAAACTTTTCAAAATCTAGAAACATTAAACAAACCCCAAAATTAAGGGCATTTTGTTGAATTTAACCATTTATATTTTAGAAAATATTTTTTTAAGTTAGGTTATGTAAAATACTTTGAAACTATGGGGTTTGTTTCAATTATATCAATAGGCTATAGAAAGTTGCATTTTGATTCTTGAACTATGTTTCAAATATCTCCTAAACTATGAAAAGTTTCATTTTAACCCTTGAACTTTGAAATTATTCTATTAAACTATGAAAGAAAATTGGCACAATAGCTCATACGTAAAAATTAAAACAAATACAGGACATAATCTATAACATCATTCATGTAAGTTAACATGGGAACTGATGTGTGAAAATTGATTCAATGAATGATGTTCTAAACAATGACGACATTTTTCGAATTGAATAACAACAAAAAAAAAAAAAAAAAAATTCCTCTTTAAGGGTACTTTTTGAAATAATTCTAAAATTTAAGGGTTAAAATAAAACTTTTAAAAGTTTAGGAGCATAATTGAACACACCCCTCCGGGTATGTTTGTATAATTTAACCTATGAGTTTTAAGAGCTACATTACCATTACTTTCTATCCTTATTATATCTTTCTTTTCAACTTGATCTTTTCCTACATAAAAGACATTTACATTCATTACGGAAGTAAAAGGAAAAGATATAACCCAACCCTAACTCTAACCCTAGTTTATGGGTGTGATTACTCTGGCAAGGTCATGGTACGCCATTGGTGATATTATCTTTGTCGGTGTGCTCAATCGATGTTTGCAGTTGTGCAGGACATTTTAAGGTATCATCCATGTTCATTAGGTACACCAGTATCCACATTCATGCCTACGGTTATCTATGTCTACTGGTGTTTTCATATGTACTATCTGCACCTTCATCTTCATGCTAGATTTGTGCAATTAATAGTTCTCGTTCAACATCTTCATTTTTGTTTGGCCTTGTTGTTCTTCGTCTTTATTCAACCTTATTGTTTTCCAATGCCACAATAGATATGGTCCATCTGTGTTCATCAAAACTGTTATAGCATCTTAGATTCATTCAAATTGTTTATTAGACTCTCATTAGCGGGTATTAGCCTAAGGAGTACAGACACAGACACAGGACAAGGATACAGCACGGACATAGTGACGAATCAATTTCTAGAAATGTAGGACACAAACACATTGGAGATATGTGTTTTTTTAAAATTATGTGTATACTAACAAATTTGATTCTTCAAAATAGATAAGACACATAAATTTAAGATGAAAAAATTAATTTACTTGTAATAATTAGTAGCTTGACCTCCCCTACAACTTCATTCTATCTTTCAAATGGTGATCACAAGGCTGGCTTAAATTATAAAGGTGATCATAATAGGATAAATAATAGGTTTGGAAGTGGACAGTAACGAGCAGGGTTAAAAAAATTTCTTTTTAAATTCTCAATCACTTTTTTTAGGTTGACGTATTTGTGTGTCTCCTACATGTTCAGAGATGTCCCGTGTGCGTCCTTGATGTGTCCAAAATTGAAAAAAATAGAATATGATACTTTTTTCACATATCGAACAGGTCTAAACGTATATGTGTCTAACACAAGTCTATAACCAACACTCGATCAAAAAGAGTGTGTGTTTCCTAGGTATTAATTTGTCATTCATTAGATCTATGTCGTACATATTTAGCTATTCAGATTCAGCCTTAGCAACAATACCTAATGTAATTTTTGAAACATGTTAGGCATTCATAACAAAGATTTATGAGAATCAAACTTTCTTTTTTGAGGTGGGGATTCAAACTTTTTACCCTTTTGGTCAAGCATATAATCTCATAACTAATTGAGATATACTCTTATGAGAACAAACTATTTGAAAATGTAGATATGTTGTTCGAGGATTTCAAAAATAGGGTATGATTAGATTAGCTTGACATTGATAATAACCACTTTTAATCATAGTTTTGAGAAGTCTATCCAACCAGGATGAGGAGACTGTTTTAACCTGTATAATGAATTTCTCAACTTGCATACCAAACTTCTATTAAACTTCTTTTCCATTCCAAGAGGAACCTCCATATAAAATTTTTCAAGATCACCATTCAAAAATGCACTTCTGACCTCAAGTTGATTGATATGAATCAAACCACTCATCAATGCATCCAAAGGAGCAATTACAAGAAATGTTGAGAAGATTCAAGTATCAAATCAAGAAAAGAATTGAGTGGCAATAAAATATCACTTGACATTAGAAAGTGATATTACATTTAAGATTATTTATGTTATGTCTTATTTTCTTCAATTTGTATTTAATAGCTTTTACTAGTAGTTTGTAGTTGGTAGTTGAACAACTTAGATTATCTCTTTTGGCCTATTTAAAGGCATGTAATATTCAAGTTTAAAATCATGATGGAATACAAAAATCTTTTGTTTGAAACCCTTTGGGTGTTATGTTTCTTTCAAACCTTGCTTTAGGTTTGATGTTAAAATCGATTCATTGGATTAGTCATGATCAAGCTAATTCTAGAGTGAGTCGTCTTGGTATCTAAGAGTGACCATCATAGATTCCAAGTTCGATCTAAGAGTTATTCATCCTTCTAACCCACGCTTGGTTGGAATCATTCGTTAAGTTAGCTTTCTTTGTGAAAGTTTGCAAGGATACTAGAAAGACCTCTAGTTTTGTAAAATCCAACATTTTTGGCGCTTATCATTTGGTATCAGAGCATTTGGTCGACATCTTGGCCAGCTCTAGAGGTGAAATATCTTTACTTCGTTAAGCCAGCTCTAGAGGTGAAATATCTTTACCTCGTTAAGTTAGCTTTATTTATGAAATTTTGCAAGGATAATAGGAGGACCTCTAGTTTTGCAAAATTCAGCATTGTGAGCGCTTATTATTATGTTTTTATTTTTCTATCAATTTCTTTACTACGTTAGTTAAGTTAGAGCTTTATTTGTGAAATTTTGCAAGGATTCTAAAAGAACCTCTAGGTTTGCAAAATCAAGCAATTGTTATCCATTAAATTAGCTTTACTTATGAAGTTTTGTAAGGATACTAGAAGGACCTCTAGCTTTGTAAAATTCAGTATTGTATGGCGCTTATCTTTACTTTATTCTTTTTCTATCAATTTTTATGAGTCTTATCAAAAATATTTATACATATATATATTAGTAAGGAAAAAAAGAGAGAAGAAAAATACCAGTAGAAAAAAAAAGAAAAAAATATATGTAGTAAAAAAAAAAAACAATATCCAGTTCTTATCAAGAAAGGAAATGAAGACTTTGATTTGAGGACAAATCATTTTAAAGAAAGGTGAATGATACGAATCCAACAACTAATCATTTGCATGGACTCGGAGGAGTAATTACAAGAAGCAATGCAAAGAAGATTTAAGTATCAAATCAAGAAAAGAATGAGTGACAATAAATATCACAATGTGATTTGAAGACTTTTTGTCTTTGGTAGTTGAACTACCATTTAAGACTATTTATGTCATTCCTTATTTTCTTTAATTTGTATTTAATAGCTTTTATTGGTAGTTTGTAGTTGGTAGATGAATTACATTATGTTTAGATTATGTTTAATTTTTAGACCTTTAGCTTTACATGCCTTTAAATAGGCCAAAAAAGATAATCTAAACATAATGTAGTTCAACTACGAACTACTAATAAAAACTATTAAATACAAATTGAAGAAAATAAGACAACATAAATAATCTTAAATGTAATATCACTTTCCAATGTGAAGTGATATTTTATTGTCACTCAATTCTTTTCTTGATTTGATACTTGAATCTTCTATGCAATTGCTTCTTGTAATTGCTCCTTTGGATACATGCAATTGATGGGTGGTTTGATTCATATCATCCCCCTTTCTTTCGAATGATTCGTCCTCAAATCAAAGTCTTCATTTCTTTCTTGATAAGAACTGAATATTGCTTTTTCTTTTTCTGTTTTTTTTACTATTGATTTTTTTCTTTCTGATATTTTTTCTCTCTTTTTATGATATATTGAGAGACTAAAAAAAATTGACGGAAAAAGAATAAAGTAAAGATAAGCGTCATACAATGGTAGATTTGCAAAGTTAGAGGTCCTTCTAGAATCCTTGCAAACTTTCACAAGTAAAGCTAACTTAACGGATAACAATTGCTTGATTTTGCAAAGCTAGAGGTCCTTCTAGTATCCTTGCAAAATTTCACAAATAAAGCTAACTTAATGAAGTAAAGATATTTCACCTAGAGCCGGCCAAAGACGTCAACCAAATGCTATGATACTAAATGATAAGCACTAAAAATATTGGATTTTGCAAAGCTAGAGGTCTTTCTAGTATCCTTGCAAACTTTCACAAAGAAAGCTAACTTAACGAAGGATTCCAACCAAGAGCGGGTTAGAAGGATAAATAACTCTTAGATCGAAGTTGAAATTTATGATGGTCACTCTTAGATACCAAGACAACTCACTCCAGAATTAGCTTGATCATGACCAATCCAATGAATTGATTTTAACATCAAACCTAAAGCAAGGTTTGAAAGAAATATAACACCCAAAGGGTTTCAAACACAAGGTTTTTGTATTCCACCCTGATTTTAAACTTGAATATTACAAGCCTTTAAATAGGCCAAAATGATAATTCAAACCTAACGTAGTTCAACTACTAACTACCAATAAAACCTATTAAATACAAATTGAAGAAATTATGGAATGACATAGGTAGTCTTAAATGGTAGTTCAACTACCAAAGACAAAAAGTCTTCAAATCACATTGTGATATTTATTGCCACTCATTCTTTTCTTGATTTGATACTTAAATCTTCTTTGAATTGCTTCTTGTAATTACTCCTTCGAGTCCATGCAAATGATCAGTTGTTGGATTCGTATCAATGATGAAATGGCCAATCTTGATTTACCGGATACGTGCACTGTTTAATTTTGCAATAGGGACAAACGTCTCTTGATAATCTATACCATATGACTTAGTAAAGCCCTTAGCCACAAGTCTTGCTTTGAATCTTTCCACACTACCATCTGACTTTTATTTAACTGTAAAAATCCATTTGCACCCAACGGAGTTCTTTCCAGGATGATGCATCGTGAGAGTCCAAATTATATTCCTTTCAAGAGCTTTAATTTCCTCATCCAGTCCTCTATTTGGGATCCTTAAGTGCACCTTGAATATGTCCAATTGAATTACAAAAGCTTAATAAGACAAGTAATTTTTCATATGTCACACTTTTTAATTGGATGACCGGTATAACTTCTCACACCTTTTTTCTGCGCAATTGGTAGTTTTGCATTATCAATCAAGGGAGCCATAGAAGTAATGTTCTCGCCAGTAAGATTCAAAAAGGGTGTGTCTGGTTCAGGTGGCTGACATTTTGATTCTTGCAAGGTAGCCCTTTTCCTTCTCGTGAAAACAATAAGAATTCGACTTTGTGAGACTAATGGTTCAGAAACTTGTGAGACTAATGGTTCACAAACGTGTGAGACTTCAAGTTCAAAAACAATAGATTGGTCCAAGACAGAAATAGGTAGCTCATTTGGAGGAACTAAGACATCGATTATAATGTGAATAGGAGGTGTGGCACAAGTGGACTCAACTTCCAATAGCTCAAATTCCTTCGCGTTCTCTCCCTAGATTTGTGACTTGATAAGAAAGTATTGTTTTTCAAATAAGGTAACATCCATAAAGATGCCTTTTTTCTAGTCATGGGGAATAACATTTGTACCCCTTTTGGTGGGGTGACTAACCTAGAAAAATGCACTTGATGGATTTTGGATCAAGTTTGGAGCGATGAGAAGAATGATTATGAATAAATGATAAACATCCAAAAACTCAAAGAGGTAAATTTGAGAAAAACTTTTAAAGTTGGGAATGAATTTGGAGGAATACATCTCAAGGAGATTTGAACTTGAGAACCCGACTAGGCATTCAATTTATAAGAAAGGTTGCAGTAAGAATGGATTCTCCCCAAAAAAAGATTAGGAACATTCGCAAACATTGAGAACAAGCTACCTTGAGGTGTCTATTTTTCCTTCCTACAATCCCATTTCCATTAGGAGTATCCACACATGAATGAGTGTGACAGTCACCATGGGATGAAAGAATTGACCTAAGAGTTGGATTGAAATAATCTTGATCATTGTCTGTTTTGAGAACTTGCATTTTACTTCGAAATTAAGTGTATTGAAAAATCTTTATGTTTCAAATTTTTCCTTCGTGAGATATGCCCATGTCAGTCTTCTATGGTCATCAATAAAAGTTGGGAACCAACATGCTCTTGATATATCTTTAACTTTAGAAGGCTCCCAGATGCCACAGAGGATTCGTGCAAAAGGGTTTGAATATTTGTAGAGCGCACTTAGATAAGTTTTTCTAGTATGTTTGGAGAGTTTGGAAAATTTTGCACTGAAAGTAACCTGATTTTTTTGTTCATGAATCAATGAGGAAACAACTTTTCAAGATACAAAAAATTGTAATTTTTATTATATATGCAGATGATACTATCATTACATGGGATGACCTATGAGAGATCATTGATAAAAAAAGATCTAGCATCTAAGTCTTAAATCAAGGACTTGAGAAGTATGAGATATTTTTTTGGGGTGACGAGATCTAAGGATGGTATTGTTATTTCTATATGAAAACACATTCACACTTGCTAAAGGAGATGGGAAATCTTGGGTGTAGACCTGTTGAAACACCTATGGATCCAAATTTAGGCCAACACCGAAGTACAGAGATTAGTTCAGTTGATAAGGGCATGTATTAAAAGACTTGTGGAAAAGGTAATTTACCTGTGACATACCAGACCAGAACTTGCATATTCCATTAGCATTGTTATCCAGCATGTGAACAGTCCAAATGAACATCATCTTCGGTTTTTTTAATAGGATTTAAGATACTTGAAAGGTACTTCAAGTAATGGGTTACTGTTTAAAAAGTCATCAAACACAATGGTAGAACTCTATACTGATGCTAGTTTGGGTGGAGAATTAATTGATCGAAGATATACGTTTGGGAATTGCTCGTATATTTGAGACAACTTAGTCACATGGACAAGCAAAAGGCAGAGTTATAACAAGCAGTGTAGAGGTTGAATATTGAGCGCTAGCTATGGAAATTTTTTTAAAAAAAAACTAAGGATAGAAACTCAAAGTTCATTCAAGATACTTTGTGATAGTCAAGCAGCAACCAGAATAACGAAGAATCTCGTACATCATCCCATACTTCATTTAATCTCTTGTTTGCTATGGGAAGGCTAAAGACTCCACGGTAATCACATGGTTGGTAAAATCTTTAGATGGAAAGTCCCAATTATATGTATCATTCTACAAGAAAGGAGTTGTGAGGATAATTTAAATAAGCTATACTTTAATTTTGGCAATCAATCACAAATCTTCAAATGGGCTCTGAAATTAAGACTTTGATTAGAAGCAAGTACGTTACCAAATACTTTAATCCTTTGAAGAAAATTGGGTGACACCTCGGACCTATTTACTAATCTCACCCAAAAATTACAACCATCACAGAAAACAATAGAGAATGGCAGCATTTGCATGTTTATTTTGCGCTCAAACATTGGGTTCAATGTGTAAGAGGTAGATCCATTAGAAAAAATTCACTCCCATCAGTTGCTGAAAGCTTTGCCCAAGTTAGAAGTGAAGTGAATCATGAGAGCATTGCCACAAGAAGAGAGGTAATCCATATGAAAGATCAACCTTGGTTGTCAAGTGTATCTATCAACACTGTAGTGTACTATCCTTGAGCCAAAATGGGGTGCAATGATGCACCATACATGAACAAAGTGTAGCCAATACAAGAAGACTCTCTTAACAAGTCACTCTTCAGAACATACATCCTACTTCAAGTCTCTTATCAAGTCACTCTTCACAACATACATCCTATTTCACGTCTCTTAACAAATCACCCTTCACAACATACATCCTACTTCGTGCTCACATAAATTATAATGCTATACTTGTGCACATGACACTAACTTTGAGAATACACACTTCCCATTTTTCCCTTTCTAACATGCACATTAACTACTACGCCTAAAAATTATTCCCATATCCAAAGAAAACCTTGTAATGAAGTGGAATTCTAGAAATTGGCGTAGGATCGTCTCCAAAGATTACCACAAGGCTTCAAACACCAAAAGATCATTTCATTCCCTTTTTTATATCCTATCTCAACTATTCTCACAAAACAACCATCTAATCTTACTATATCTAGTTGCCAAAGAAGCCTGTAGGGTATTATATCTTAGGAAGGTGGCCACGAGGGCATGAACTCATTCCCTATACTCTCTACTACTTAAACTGGCCCTTATTGGCTATTAAACCAACCCATGGTGGTTAAGAGACCTTCACGTCGGATTCATATTTACCACCAGTCGAACTCTACTCTTCAGTAAAACCAAAACATGTTCATAATCCTTTCTAAGTTAAATCCTAGCATACGAAAAATTGGTGGAGACAGAATACCCTCTTCTAAGGCCTTTCGAAGTTATGAAACATGAAAGACAAGGTCAATGGAATCGCTATTCCTTCCGTAATACAAGGCCAGTGTTGATTAGTTTATTTCTTCAATGTTGGCTAACGAACAAAGACTATAAGGAGAGACTAACGCAGTAAAAGGAGGAGCAAGTGATTTCGCACAATTCATAGTCCAAATACACATTTCAAGAAGTAGAAGAAGAACCTGGCAAGAGCCGGAGCCAACTCGGAGCAGTCCTTAACTTGAGCAATAGCGGACTGTCTCTCTAGGTATGACTTCGAGTGGCGCCTCTGGCCGCCATTGGAGAGTTTACCATTTGGGGAGTCGGGGAGGAATTGAGGCTGTTTAGGGACAATGGCGATAGAGTTAGGGCGATGATTCTTGAGCCTGGGGACAGAATGCGGTGCAGAAGCCATTACAGAAGGAGTGGGCAACCGAGTCTGAAGGAGATGGCGATGATATCCATTACCAATAACAGAGAGTTCCATTTCGACACAAAGCGAGGGAGTTCAGTTCGCCCTCGACCGTGTCCGTAGCCGTGGATGACAGTAGATATTTGAGCCAACCACCGTCCGTCGCCCTTCAAAATATCCAAGTGAAAAAGGTATGCTAGCTTATAACATCGGTCAGTCTAAGTGTGATATTTTTGTGTGCTAGATGTCTCAGTCATGCTTAGGATTGATCGGATGCTCGTTCCAAATCTGTCTTACTTACTTTCATGTAAAGTTGGCTTTTACTAGTCTTGATATGTCAAAACAAGAATGTATAATTGTTCATCAAAATTATGTTTACACGGTCAAGGTTAAAATGTCTCAAAATATATTAGGGGAATATGTGACTAGTTGTTAATTATTCATATCCATGTTATAAGCTACTAAAGTGGTGGTGGTTACTTATTTGTTTTTAGGCTATAACATTACTTTCGTAAAACCAATTTTCAAACGATTTCTGTAACTTTTTTTGTTCTCATTTTTTAAAAATATTTTCTCTAAAACGAGGTCGAAGGCTTGAGCATACATTGCTCATTCCAACGGTAACCCAAATTCTAGTTGGCTAATTTATTTGTGGTGGGAGTAAGTGTCGTATAATCGCGTTGCGAGTCCTAATAGAGTGCAAATGTGATAGTTGGTATTAAATCCAAATTGGCTCCTTAAATCTGCGTTAACAAACATGTCTGCTACAAAATAATGGGGTAAGTCTTGGGTTGATCGATTAGTAGAGATTGAAGATTAGTTGCTCTCCCTGAGTGAAGTTTTTGAAGGAACGAGACATTTAGAATCTCCAACCGAGGGTGTGGTCTAATATAACAAGGTGAGTGTCTTCAAGCTTAAACCCTTTTATGAAGCTTGAGATGCTAAGGCTCTAATGAACTTTATCTTTGACCTTGAACAGTATTTTCGAGCAACAACTACCGTGGTAGAAGAGACAATTCTAGAAGGAATTCGGGCATATGGTTCTAGAGTTAAGTCTGTCCATATAAAATATGAATTCTCGCAAAACTTTTATAAAATGATTACAATATGAAGTTTCGATGAACTTGTTCTTATAGACTTAATTACTAATTTGTTGGGAGAATTTGAATTCATTCCAAGCATAGGGTTGGAATCTTTACAGAAACCTCAGCTCCTCAGGATAAGAATTGCAAGTAGTTCTAAACACTGAATTCAGAGAAATCAATAGAATGACACATCCAGAATCATACAAAACACAAAAACCACACCTTAACAATCACAACTGCACAACTTGACTCAATACGAAACGGACACAAAAACGACGAATAAAGATACACGGGTATTAGTAATCTTCCCCTTCCTCCTCTTCATCGACATCTTCTGCCCCGACTTCCTCGTAGTCCTTTTCTAGAGCAGCAAGATCCTCACGGGCTTCAGAGAACTCACCTTCCTCCATGCCCTCACCCACGTACCAATGCACGAATGCTCGCTTAGCATACATCAGATCAAATTTGTGGTCGATTCTTGAAAAGACTTCGGCCACTGCTGTGCTGTTGCTTATCATACAGACAGCTCGCTGCACCTTGGCGAGATCGCCCCCAGGAACAACACTTGGGGGTTGATAGTTGATACCACATTTGAAGCCAGTAGGACACCTGAAAAATTCCCATGGCACAAGTTTAATTCAAACCATGAATGAATTTTTTGATTTATGCAGAGTTCCCCATCATGCTATTATCCATACATTTATACAACTTCAGCAATATCATATGGATCATTCAAAGAGAAATCATCAATGGCTTCATAATCTAAGAATACAGAGCAGTTAACTCACCAGTCCACAAATTGAACCGTTCGCTTGGTTTTGATGGTAGCAACAGCAGCATTCACATCCTTGGGCACAACATCTCCTCTATACATCAAACAGCATGCCATGTACTTTCCATGTCGTGGGTCACATTTGACCATCATGCTCGAGGGATCAAATACAGCATTAGTGATTTCGGGGACAGATAGCTGTTCATGGTATGCTTTCGCAGACGAGATCACAGGAGCATAAGAAGAGAGCATGAAATGTATACGCGGATAAGGTACAAGGTTAGTTTGAAACTCAGTTATATCCACGTTGATAGCACCATCAAACCTCAAGGAAGTGGTTAAAGAAGAGATAACTTGAGATATCAAGCGGTTCAGGTTGGTGTAAGTTGGTCTTTCAATATCCAATGATTTCCTACAGATATCGTAAATGGCTTCGTTGTCCAGAAGCACAGCGACATCGGTATGTTCTAGTAGAGAATGAGTTGAAAGCACACTGTTGTAGGGTTCTACCACTGCAGTAGATACCTACACACAAAGATCGTAGCATTCGACTTCAATCTTCATAAGAATGGTTTAGAGGTATGAATGTCAAAATCATCAGCTCAATATTTGTAAGCACAAACAGATTTGTGTGTTACCTGTGGAGAAGGATATATGGAGAATCCAAGCTTTGACTTCTTTCCATAATCCACAGACAAGCGTTCCAAAAGTAACGACCCCAACCCAGATCCAGTGCCACCACCAACAGCATTAAACACTAAGAACCCCTGCAAACCAGTGCAATTGTCGGCTAGCTTTCGCACTCGGTCGAGGCATATATCAACTATTTCCCTACCCACTGGAGAATGATGCAATAAAGTGAGGTTAGTAATGAGAGAGCACAGTAAAAAGGGAAACTCTAAAAGAGCTTGAAGGAAAAGAAATGGACGCACCAGTATAATGTCCTCTAGCAAAATTATTGGCAGCATCTTCTTTACCAGATATGAGCTGTTCCGGATGGAAAAGCTGTCGGTATGTCCCAGTCCTTACTTCATCGATAACAGTTGGTTCAAGATCCACAAATATAGCTCTTGGAACATGCTTGCCTGAACCAGTCTCGCTGAAAAACGTGTTGAAGGCATCATGTGCAACACCTACGGAGGTGTCACTGCAGCATACACAGGTAATACAACATAATTAGAATAAGAGCTATGATTCATGGCAATTAGTCCTGCTAAGAGCTTCAAAGGGAATATAAATCAACGACGACACTACATAAACAACAGATCCAAACAAATTTATATTCTTGAATACGAGCAGGATCGAGGGCATCTACTCCCATCTTAACAGTAACATCATCTCAGACAATCTCAACGTAAGAAGTACCAAAAGATTGGTGATTAGATTTGAAATTCCTGAAGAAAAGGATTGCTAAATCAATTGGGTTAGCGCGATGCGAATTTTCAATTCCTACGAGCACAGACTTGTTAAGATCCAAAGTAAACCCAATCAAAATGAATATTCAAACCCATGTCCAGATTTCTCGATTGATCTCATAATGGGACTCGATGCATCGAGAGATCGGGAAAAAGAACCCTAAATTCAAAGATGTGAACGAAACCCACAATTGCAAAACAGCGAGTCGCACAAATTCGATTCAGCCCCACTCCCACTCACCATACAGAATCAATACAGGGGAAAATGATCTATCCAGCCAAAAACAAATAGGGAATCAAAACTGACGCATGGTTGATATCGATTGACAATCAAAATCAAACCCAAATCAAGAAATCAAGAGAGGAATCGAAGAAAAAAGAGATACAAACCTGGGCATCAACCCATCAGGCTGGATGCCATGTTCGAGACAGTAAAGCTCCCAGCAAGAATTGCCGACCTGAATTCCAGCTTGACCAATGTGAAGGCTGATGATTTCCCTCATCCCGAATCCGAATCCAAATCCGGTCTCTCGAAAGAAGGAGGCGGAGGATCGAGAGAAAACAGAGAGAGAAATGGGAGAAGAGGGGAAGATGCCGCAGAATGTGATCGGGGAGACGCAGAGGGGAACAGAGATAATTGATTGAATAAATATCAATCAATTATTGGGGGAAAAGGGAAGCGGAAGAGAGAGGTTAGAGGGATGGATGAATCGAAGCCTTTATTGTCTCTATTGCTTTGTTTATAGCTTAGAAGTTGAAGAAAGGGTCGGTTTTGGGTGAGGGGATGAGCCAAGTTTGGGGTCCCGCCATTTTCATCCAACTCTCCTTCCTTTTTCTCTTCTTCCATTCTTCCTTCCTTCCTCCTCCTCCTCCTCCACGCGCTCTTCGCGAGTGGGCCTTCACTCTACCAAAAACCTTTATTTATTTATTAAACTCCATTAAATTAATATTTTAAGATTTAAAGTTATTCTCTACGCGTTACTTTTTATAGTCTTTGTTCACTTGCAAACAATAATGGAAGATATTTTATTTTATTTTAACTATATTCAACATATATTATATATCATTTTACTCTGAGAACGACTTTAATATCACAATTATTATTTGCGAGTGGGCGTTGACCACACCAAAACTTCAATTAGTATTAGAGATTAAATTGATATTTCAAGATCTGAAAAATTGAAAGTACATATTTTATATCAGTTGAGTTAGGCTCGTATTTGCATCTTATTGTTATTCTCTACACATGATACTCGGTTTGCTCAAGAACTAACACTTGAAGATATTTTATTTTATTTTAACTATGTTCAACGTATATACAATTCTCGAATAAGAGAATGTATTCGGGTGGGTAAAAGTTGGGTATGGATTTAATGAGAATATGGGGGTGGAGGGTGTATGCATATGGGTTATAAGAAGTTGGAAGTAAAGAGAGAAAGGGAATATGAGTGATGAAAGGGTGGGGAGGTTGAAAGATTCATTGATGAGTTGTCAAAGACAAAAGAAGATGATATTAGCCAGCCTGTGTTTGTCCTATACACTCACTCCCCCCCTCCCCCAACGCTCTTCCACAAAGACAAAATATCTGATGCTGTAATCATCACTTTTATGCTCCAAACAATATTCCTTGCACAGTTCATAAGAGTAAGGTTCGATCTACCGTCTAAACAGGAACGTAATACATCATCAAATGTATTGTTTACTTCCTCAATTTGATTGGTTCGAACTTATTAATCTCAAGAACAAACTCGAAATTGTAACTATCAATTCGCTCGCTCACTTATCACTTCGTTCGATGGACCATTTAAAATAAACAAACAACCGAATACATCACTTCATTGGTTTGAACTTAAAAATATCGATTTCATATTAATTTTTATTTCTAATCTAGATCAGATGAACTTATCTATCCCTCCACGAAGGAACTCCAAATTGTTTAAAATGGGTCATCCCACCCTATGACAGTGACAAGATACAAAAAGTTAGTAGCCTATTCCTATCAAAGGACAAATTTAAATCGTTCAACTGCTTAAAAACGCTTTTCAACCCTTAAGAAAATCAATCCAAATAGATTCTTACTCAACCTGTAAACCTTGAGAAAAAATGAGGCTCAAAATACCTACACCTGCTGCCAGAAATTGATTCTCAAGGACAAAACAATGTTAAGTTATAACAAGTAAACAGAAGTTGTCTTGTGTAGGTGTTTTTCCAAGGTTCCTGTTCAGAGAAGTCTACAGTTACAAATTGTCCACATATTTACATTACATAGTAGTAGCCTATTCTCCTTTTTTGAACAAACAATAAAGAAAAGCTTCAATGTCCTCAATAAAAGTGTCAGATGAATCAATCAATTGCTTATCATCCAAACAAGGGACAAAAGCAATCAAGGGAGGGGCAGACCATGCAAACATCATTCAGCCTTGTGTCTTAATGGTCATAGCCATAGCAGCAGACGAGGTACAACCGTCCTCACCCTCGCAACCATGTGTTTCTGTATGACGAGTTATCACGCAGAGATGCATCGTGAGGTTTGTATTCCATAACATACCCATGTGGGAGCTTTAAGTGTCGTTTGATTGAATCTCGCAGACCCATCACTGCCTGGTAGTATAAGGACATACAATAAGTTAAAGCTCATGATCTTGTATTGCACTCATGTGTGATGGCGTAGAAGTAAAAGATCATGTTACAGACCTGATGATCAGATGCATTGCGGTTCCAGACACTCAAAATATCCTCATTGAAACGAATGCTAAGCACGGCACCACATATGTTATCACCGAAATCAAGCTGGTCCCCCACTAATGCAAGAACCTGCAGAAGCATACAACAGAAGCTTTCATTCATCCATGGAATTAGCGTACCTGAAAACTTGTATTAAATTCACAACCAAATGCATGTCTAACTCAAATAAAAGCGTGCACAAAGGACCAATCAAAGGCATGATAAAGAATCTTCTCACTTCTCAAGCCAAAGAGATAGCCTTTGATGCAGATAACAAGGTAAAAAAATTACAGCCCTGAGATGTAGAAACCTAAATGACGTGAATATTCAGCGGAATTACAACGGATCAGCAAACGAAAGGCACAACATACAGAACTTTTACAGCTAAAAAGGGAACGTAAATTCCACCACCAATATGCATGAACCCCAATGCAGACTGAATAGTACAACCACCCCACTAGAACTGATACTTCTTTTATGGCTTTAGGGGTGTCGTCTTTTTTCCCGGGGGTGGTGCGGGAGCAGGAGCAGGAATCAACTACTACCTTTATTATTATTATTATCTAAGAAAATGAATATATCGAATAATTATCCAAAACTATTTTCAGGCAACTTTAGATTTCATCAATCAAGTTGAGAACAGTTAATCAGAAATTAAGAAACCAAAGGGAACAATAAATATCTTAAGATTTGACAAGTAATGCATATTGATCAATAACGATGTCATTTTTGTTATCACTTACCAAATCTTCCCAAAATCGGCCAGATACAACTTTCTTAAATCGTATTATCCACTTTCCACCATTGCAGTTGGCAGAATCCTGAAAGATTATTGCATTTGCATACAAATAGGAATTAGACTCCCCATTGAGCAAAGAAATACAAAACCATCCAATATCTTATGTTACAAAAAGGAACAGGAAGTTCACTCCCTAGTAAGCACAAGGAAACACATGCATGCAACATTCCTCAACATATTACCTCCCAGAGTGGACGGATTCCTTCCTTAAAGAGATGCAGATCTGTTGGGCTTGGTAATGAAGAAGGACGAGCCAAATGGCAATAGCTTACCCAAAAACCTTCAACCTACATGCATGAGGAAAACAAAGTTTAATCAAAAGAAAAATAAAGTTCAATCAATAGAAAAACAAAGAATTGTAAAGACTGACATAAAATAACCACAGTACACAAATAGTGTTTCAGAAAATCAATGTCGACAAGTCATACCGAGCTAAAGTCCACAATCTTTTTTATGTTGTCCTCATATGATGTTTGAGTCCGAACTCCAGGTGTTCGACGAGTGTACCAAAATGCAAACTTGTGCTAGATGCAGGAANTGAATTAAAAAAATTGATAAAATGGGATTGTAAATCACCAAGGATTCAGAATAATCAATAAAACTCTCCTATCAATCCAAAAATTAATAGTTACCAATCAATAGAAGCCGTTTTTGCCCCTTGTTTTCAGAAGATGAGCACTAGCATCATGAATATAGATCCATAAAGCTTATACCTACTTATTTAATAAAGAACAAAGCCTAAATATGTAAGAGATCGAAATCAATTGATTTCACCAACAACCATCTCCCTTCATTTTCTCCTCGCATTGATGAGAAAATGAGGGAAGAAATTCGACTTAAGTTAAATTTCTTAATTTGGTGAAAGGAAGACTACCTCTATATATGAGGTAATCTTTGTCTTATTAGAGCCCCCAGGTTCCCTCAAGGTAGTAATTGCCTCAATTATGAGATTGTCTAACCTGTAAAATAAATTTAAAAAAAAAAAAAAAAAAAAAAAAAAAAATTATACATGGACCTTTCTATAAGCCACTAGCCACATAAAAGAAAAGGTGGTGACGTGAAAATGACGTGAAAAGGTCTAAAACAACCAAAACACACGAAAGAAAGGAGAAAAAACACAAGAGAAATCTGAAGCATACAAACCAAAGTTGAGTTCATCTCAGAAATGTCAAGAAACGAGAACACCAATATGGTTCAATAGGGTATGAACAGGTCAGTCTCCTATCATCAGTGTACAGAAAACAAACAAAAATGCTTTCCATGCCTACGATGAAAAGAAGCTAATCAGAAGGCACTCCAATAGGTGCTAACTAAAGAAATAATAAAATTACAATACAGGTTTGAGAAACTGCGAGTAGGTTGAAAACAGCGGAAATCCAAAATCTAGGAAACTCCCAAATGAAGGTTTAAACTTTAATAGGATAGCTTGGGGTAAAGAAGTTGAGCATCCTTTGAAATATCTTTAAGGAAAGACTTATATCTAAAAGAGCCCAAGAAATAACAAGTCAGACTCCATTCTCTTCTATTGGGTTGAAAATGAAATTAACAGGGACATCATCATACAACTTCCATTTGCGAGTTTCCATATTATTCAGATTTTTTTCTAATTTAAAATTTCAAGAGTTTGTGGAGTTGTAAATTTGAAATGGTCTGTTTTGGAGGTCCTCCCTGAATTTTGTGTTACGCCATTGTCAACTATACCCCTCGAGAACAGAAGGCCTTTCAGCTTGATAACATCTTTCTAAGGACCTTTGGAAGATTTGGTAGCCAGCAAGACTGACCACCAATATACTTTGGATATAATATATAGGTGCAAATTTCCCCAAAAAGCATGTTCTTGAAGGCAAATCTCAATAGCCTTTTGGTGAGGAGAAAGTTCCTCGCCAATTTCCTCAACCAAGTTAACCTTGTACTAACCAACCAAATAAACTTCTCAACAGAGTGTCCATCCCAATAGAGATCTTTCATGACATTTTCGATTGTGGTAGCAACTTTATTATGCGTTCAGAAGGTGGAAAGGTAATAAGTTGGAAAGTGAGAGAAAGAGAGAGATGCTCTCAACAAGGTTAATCTGTCACCTTTAGAATCAATATTGCATTTCCAAGGTAAATTTACCACCTTAAGAAAGCATGTTTCACTTCTAGCCTTATAGTTTTCCTTGGATTTTATTGGAAAAAACCATAGGCATCTAGATGTTACTTTTTCAATTTCTATGAAGGGGATGATCAAGGTAAAGCATTGGCCGTTGGTCAATATTACAACTACAAAAATGAGCCAAGTCTATAAATCTAGTACATCTGATGCTGCCAACTACAGATTAAGATACATTAAGCCCCACTGCTTGCGATGTCTTGGTAATAAGTTGGTTGGAGTGCAATAGAAGATCTTTGATGCATGTTTGGTCTGCCAACTTTGAATCTCAATAATCTTTAGTCTCTCTGCCCCCAAATATATTTTCAATTTTAACTAACTTGAAAGAATCTCGTCTTGTTGCTTTTTCCACAATTTCTCCATACTCCTAGCTATCATTTATGCTTTCTTCATCACTTACTCTCATCTCGTCTTGCTATGTCCTTCCCCCTCGGTTCAGTCTTCTCTTATCCCCTTCAATTTTCTGTCAGACATCCACTTCATTTCTCTGCCCCCCTACATGTATTGTTGCAATTCCTTGGATAATCAATTACTTTTGTTCAATTCCTTGTGTTCCTAGTGCTCACTCTTGATTTTTGTTTTCTCCTTCCTTCGAGTAGGATTTAGAGAACCTTTGATTAATTTTAGTTATTAGTTTTGGAACACTGTCTTCTTTATTAGAATAACAATATGATAGAACCCACATAGCTTAAATAGTATTGAAAGATGAGATAAAGGAATACAATTAACTCCCAAGACATTCGAGGTACTTGGACCCTCTTTCTTAAGTATTCTTACTCAAGTCTACAGCCACTAAACAATTGCCTATCTAACCTCTTTTCACTCACACTATTTAAAACAGATCTTCCAAAAAAAATCCTTACCTAATTACTAATATACCCTCACTAACCTAAAAAGATTCCCATTTCTAACCTAATAGCATTCCTATCAATATCTATCAATATCTGTGTAGTTTGATTTTGAAGGTTCTGTCTATTTATAGACAAGAACTAGGAAAAATATGTTTGATTTGTATGCTTCAGCTTTATAACGAACTTGTTCTGTTTGATAATATTACATGATGAAAGGATTATATGTATATATGAACCAAATTCTCATTGAGAAAAAAAATGAAAGAATAAAATGGCATACAAAAACTAAGCCCCACAAAAAGGGAGCCGAACTAAAGAACGGGACTCCAATTAAGTTAAATAAGACCTAACAGAAAACCTTCGTCACAGAAGCCCAACAAAGAAACATAGAACCTTCTGAAAGACCAAACATCACTCAAGCTCCTATCAACCCTTCTAAAAGTCCTATTCTTCCTTTCCTCCCAAAGGCTCCACAAAACTGCACACACACACCAACTTGCTTTACTCTCGATTATCTCTCCATAACAAACTATCAAGGTATGTTGTCGCACTCCTACAAATAATGCATCAAAACGACCCTACCAAACTAGGCATCTTTCTCAATAGCTAACAAAGGTATTCACTTTTCTGTGGATGACCTTACAGAAAAAGAAAAAAATTAACTTCGCCTTTCACAAAGAGATACAGACAAACACAATAGAAGGAAATAGATTTGCTAGACCACACAAGAGAGAACTACAAGTAAAACCTTAAAAAAGATTTGGGCTCCAAAGCTGAATATCCCTTCTCCGATGCCTAATCACAGACTCCTCGATCAAAGATAAGAAAGCTATATATCTATTGTTTCTATCCCAAACAACGAGCTATGAAACCCCCACAATAGAGAAAGGGAGATCTAATATGAGAAAGGACGTTTGTCATTGAACAATTTTTCATAGAGAACAAATGACATAAGTGGGGAACATAGAGAGGAGGGGTCTATCCCCAACTAATTATCCTTAAAAAAAGAAACTCCAATTACTTGGTGAGACACTAAACAACCCATGAAAAGAAAGGGAGCTCACTTAAAATATCTTTCCAAGGATTTCTAGAAGTGCCTTTAGCCCCACCTGATATCCATACAAAAGGGTGAGGACTGTATTTGCTCATTCTTGCACCCAAAGGTATAGACTCAAGGGGGAAACATAAAAGGCATTTAGCCAACAAAACCTTGTTTTGAGCCCTTAAAACCCTCACATATTTAATTTGTATCCTACTAATACTCGTCATGCCTTCTTTACGTTAGAGGGGTTTACCACCTAGATTCCAATGAGCCTGTGAGTCTAAGTGTTCCATATGCTTTAGACAACATCATTATACATAAATGCAATGAGTGACACATCCAATAAATAATATTTTGAATATTATCATTAAATACTATACACATTTCAATATTTTCAACTACTGAATTATACAATATAAATAATTTAGATCAACACGTTTGTATTCTCATTGTAATATTCACTTTTAAGCTCATTTAAATATTAGAAGGAAAATTATATCTCAATAAAGACAATGTTTATCAATAATAAAATGAACAAAAGATTCGGACAGATAATAAGTCTTTCAAGCAATATAACTTTTTTCTCAAACATCATTTTTCCATGTCTTCTCACGCTACTTCATTGGGTTTGATTAGTGAACTTCATCAATTCTTTTCTTTTTTCCCTCAAGGAATGCTTCATTTTAGATACCTTTTTTCAAAAGACAAAGAAAAAAGAAAAAAAAACTTCCCGCCAATCATTTAAAAGTTAGATAACTCCAGACTCCAAATTAGAGAATACAATAAAATTTGCCAATAACGACATATGTCATTCATATAATAATTGAAAAGCTTGGACCGATTGAGGAATCATGTTCACGACTTCTAATAAATTTCAACAAAGTTATTGAAGAGCTTCCATTGTGTTTTCTCATCCCACAAATCGAAAAAGGTAATTTGTGCAAGTAAAAATGGTTCAAGAGATGAACACAGTTTTTTGTTTCAGTTGTTTGTTTGCTTATTTCTTAGAACTTTTTTTTTTTTAACAAGAAACAACTTGATGAAATGTTCAAGGGATACAAACTCCCAAAGCTGAGTTTAGAGATAGAAAGAAAAAGAAAAATCAAGAACCTGGAGGCAATTACAATCAAATAGACGTAAGCCCTGGGAATAATAAAACTATAAATGCTTCATATATTATTACAAGCTTTTCAGCCACTAGCTCATCCAGCGAGACATCATTTAAAAGCTTTTCATGCAAATAAGCTGTATACCTTCCTGACTAGAAGGCCGCTTAAATTGAAATTTGACTTCAGCCTATAACTAACCAAAGATATTATAAACCGGAGCATCCAAAGTTCCTTTGGAGAACACTGAATTAAATGTTATATCGACCACCTTTTGTCCAACCAAAGCATTAAACACCGGAACATAAAATGCTATTTTGGAACTCCACATGAATTTAATGAGCTTTGAATTAAAAATATCAACATTTAACTCT